GTAGAGAACTTAATTTTATGATGGGAACCATTGTCCAAAATAAACGAAAAGTGACTATTTAAGTTTTTTTTTTTTTTTGAACCATTAAAATCTCAATTTAGTGTTTACGAATGACTAAATTTTGACTTATGTTATTGGTTCGCAGGACCATTGTAGAAAAGTGGTACCTAAATTAGTGAGAGTAATTAGAATGGCAAAATAATCATTTATGCCTGTATCTAGTTACTGGATCTCGAATGGGAAAAAAATACATGCAAGGAAGGTTAGAGAAAGGTATATATTAGTTTCTGTGATTGTATATATTCTGAGTGTGCCATCTTTTTCCTTTAGTGAAAAAGTAAAAACCAATGATTAGATTATGTATTCTGGGGTTGACTAAATACAATCTTATTATTGAAACTTGAATGATACATATTCAATTAGGTCCTATGTCAGCTCTATAAAGCATTTAGACTTACGTACAGTTGTTATAAAAGTTTTGTACTTAATCGCAATTATTATAAAGTTTTGGACTTAATTGTAATTATTATGAAATTCATAAATTTTGGGTGCGTTTGATTGCAAGCATGTAATTTACATGAAAAGAAAATAAATTCTAGATAATTAAATCTTCTAGAACTTATTTGCATAAAAATTATCAATTATATGTTTAATTAATTTAATTTTCAACATAGAAAATATTATACTTGTCCTATTTTTATTGATGGATAGATAAGAGAGGTGCGGGGGAGAGAGAGAGAGAGCTAGAAAATAAAATCATATTACCCTCTAAAGAAAATATTTTCCTTGATTTTGAGGAAAATATGATTAGGTGACCAAATATTATTAGGTGATCAAAAGTATTAGGAAAATATTTTTCTTGGAAAAAAATGTAGTTGAACAGTACAAATGTAAGAATTTGGGTGAAAAAACATATTTTGCATGAAAAATATTGACAATCAAATGTACCTAAATGTAATTGTAATTACAAACTTATTATACTGTAATCGTAATTGCCATTGTTTACTTTTAATTTAATTCAACGCTATACGATAGAAGAAAAAGCAACGATGAGGAAATTTATTGACTGTAGAAGGTGATGATAAAGCGGGGTCATCACATTTTTAATCCATACCCGCCAGACCTGAAAAATTAATTTACTTTGGATTACTTACCAAATAAATTATTCAATCTAGTCATGCACGTAAACTTCACATATTTATATTTTAGTGAGTTTGTCCGTTAGGTGAGGAAAATTTAAATTGACTGGGTTAATGAGGAGGTGGAGGTAATGCATTTGCATTTTTTTTTAATTTAATTTAATGCTATAGGATAGATGAAAAGGCAACAATGAGAATATTCATTGACTGTGGAAGCCTATGAGAAACCAGGTTATCACATTTTTAATCCATGCGGGCCACACTTGAAAAACTAATGTTACTTCCAAATACTTTACTAGAAATATTATTCAATCTAGTCATGCACATAAACTCCCCTTGTTTATATACTAGTGAGTGACTGTTAGGTGAGGAAAATATAAATTTATTGGCATAGTGAGAAAATAACGAGCTTGTTTATTTGTTGATAATTCAATGCTATAGGATAGAAGTAAAAACAACGAGGAGGAAATTCATTGACCATGGAAGTCAACGAGAAAGCGGGGTCAACACATTTTTAATCCGTGCTGGCCGTTTAATGTTAATTCGAAATACTTGACTAGAAAGATTATTCAATCAGGTCACAGTCAAGTCATGAATGTAAATGCCACTTGTTTATGTAATAGTGGTTCAACTATTAGATGAAGAAAATAGATTACAATTCAATGAAAGTGAGGAAAATATAAATTTGACTGGGTCATGTACGAGACTGTACATGACAACGATACTGTTCTTGTAAGTTCTTGATATCAATTATATAAAGAAACTCAAATTAGATCCAATTGAAATAACTTTTCAATTTTAAACTATCTCGAGTTTGTATAATGAACACTGTTGAAGATCGAGATATAATTGACTTGTACACAAAAATACGCGATAATTTATACTACTTGGAAGGCCCCAATGAGATGGCATTTGTGGAGTCACCTCTTCATACTACTGCTTCAGAAGGTCGTACAGACCTTGCTCTTGAAATCTGGAGGCTAAAGCCTTCGCTGGGGAAGAAATTGCACCTTGATGGTCTCAGTCCGCTGCACCTGGCTTTGAATAAGGGACACACCGACACTGTGAAACGACTTGTCAAGCATGATCCGGATCTCATTCGTGTCCCATGGAGGGAAGGGATCACTCTTTTTGCATTACACAGTGGAAAAAGAGGAAATTGATCTTTTGATTTATTTTCTTCTCGTATGTCCACTCTCAATATTTGATTTGACCATTCGAGATGAGACTGTTGTGGTGTTTGCTGACAGTTAGGTTGTATACATTTTCGAGTATGGAATTTTCTCTTTCTAGGTTGAATTTTGAACTTCAAATTCTTGGTTAAAGTGTAATTTGTTTGACGATTATTTTAGTCTTTTCCCATTGCTAATGTACTGATGGAATTATTTCTCTCTCGTGAAATTTTGATCTGGACATTTGAAGTCTTTTTAGTGTTATCCATATTGCAACTGTATACTTTATAATTGTGGCATAGCTTTTTAATATTTGTCAAACGTGAAAAATTGCAGGCTTAAATCAGTGACGGATCTAGGATTGGATACAAGACTGGGCTACAAAATTTCAAACCAGGCTACTACGCGTAAAAAAAAAAAAAAAAAATATTTACACATAAAAAACTGATTTTTTACCAAAAAAATAAAAAATACCTTAAAAAAAAGTTCTTGGGCCTGAGGGAGGGGGGCTACAACCCAGCCCCCCCTCAATCCGTCTATGGCTTAAATACACAAACAACAATTACAATAATTATGCATTTAATCAAAGCATTCAATTTCATATGATTTCATGCATTTAATCTAAACTCCTTAACACAATTGTGTATATCTTTTTGTAATTATAATGATTCTTTAATCAACCAATAATTTTTATAAATTTGATTAATCAAATAGCTCGATAAATTAGGAGATAAAGAATCACTTAAGTACAGAACTTAATTTTATGATGGGAACCATTGTCTAAAATAAACGAAAAGTGACTATTTAAGTATTTTTGTTGAACGATTAAAATCTGAATTTTGTCTTTACGAATGACTAAATTTTGACATATGTTATTGGTTCGTAGGACCATTGCAAAAAAAAGGATACCTAAATTAATGAGAATAATTAGAAGCACAAAATAATCATTTATGCCTGTATCTAGTTATTGGATCTCGAATGGGAAAAAAAATACATGCAAGGAAGGTTAGAGAAAGGTATTTATTGGTTTCTGTGATTGTATATATTCTGAGTGTGCCGTCTTTTTCCTTTAGTGGAAAAGTAAAAAAACCAATGATTAGATGTATTCTGCGGGTTGACTAAATATAATCTAATTATTGAAACTTGAATAAAACATATTCAATTAGGTCTTATTGTAGCTCTATAAAATATTGAGACCTATGTACAGTTGTTATAAAAGTTTTGGACCTAATCGCAATTATTATAAAGTTTTGAACTTAATTGTAATTACTATGAAATTTCTAAATTTAAGGGTGCGTTTAATTGCAAGCATGAAATTTACATGAAAAGAAAATAAATTGTAGATAATTAAATTTCCTAAAACTTATTTGCATGAAAATTATCAATTATGTGTTTCATTAATTTAATTTTCAACATAGAAAATATTATACTTATCCGATTTTTTATTGATGAGTAGATAAGAGAGGTGGGGGGAGAGAGAGAGAGAGAATAAAACTCTACTCCATCTAAAGAAAATATTTTCCTTGATTTTGAGAAATTTGGTTTGGTGGCCAAATATAGTTAGGTGATCAAAAGTATTAGGAAAATATTTTTCATGAAAAAAAATGTAGTTGAATAGCACAAATGTAAGAATGTGGGTGAAAAAACATATTTTGCATAAAAAATATTGACAATCAAATGCACCCTAAATGTAATTGTAATTATAAACTTATTATAATGTTGTAATCGTAATTGCCAATGTTTACTTTTAATTTAATTCAACGCTATACAATAGAAGAAAAAGCAACGATGAGGAAATTTATTGATTGTGGAAGGTGATGATAAAGCGGGATCATCACATTTTTAATCCATACCGGCCATACTTGAAAAATTAATTTACTTTGTAATACTTACCAAAAATATTATTCAATCTAGTCACGCACGTAAACTTCACATATTTATATTCTAGTGAGTTTGTCCGTTAGGTGAGGAAAATTTAAATTGACTGGGTTAATGAGGAGGTAATGCATTTGCTTATTTTTTTAATTTCATTTAATGCAATAGGATAAGAAAAGGCAACAATGAGAATATTCATTGACTGTGGAAGCCTATGAGAAACCGGGTTATCACATTTTTAATCCATGCGGGCCACACTTGAAAAACTAATGTTACTTCCAAATACTTTACTAGAAATATTATTCAATCTAGTCATGGACATAAACTCCACTTGTTTATGTACTAGTGAGTGACTGTTAGGTGAGAAAAATATAAATTTATTGGCTTAGTGAGAAAATAACGAGCTTGTTTATTTGTTGATAATTCAATGCTATAGGATAGAAGTAAAAACAACGAGGAGGAAATTCATTGACCATGGAAGTCAACGAGAAAGGGGGTCAACACATTTTTAATCCGTGTTGGCTATATAATGTTAATTCGAAATACTTGACTAGAAAGATTATTCAATCAGGTCACAGTCAAGTCATGAATGTAAATGCCACTTGTTTATGTTATAGTGGTTTGACTATTAGATGAGAAAAATAGATTACAATTCAATGAAAGTGAGGAAAATATAAATTTGACGGGTCATGTACGAGACTGTACATGACAACGATACTGTTCTTGTAAGTTCTTGATATCAATTATATAAAGAAACTCAAATTAGATCCAATTAAAATAACTTTTCAATTTTAAACTATCTCGAGTTTGTATAATGAACACTGTTGAAGATCGAGATATAGTTGACTTGTACACAAAAATACGCGATAATCCATACTACTTGGAAGGCCCCAATGAGATGGCATTTGTGGAGCCACCTCTTCATACTGCTGCTTCAGAAGGTCGTACAGACCTTGCTCTTGAAATCTGGAGGCTAAAGCCTTCGCTGGGGAAGAAATTGAACCTTGATGGTCTTAGTCCACTGCACCTGGCTTTGAATAAGGGACACATCGACACTGTGAAACGACTTGTCAAGCATGATCCGGATCTTGTTCGTGTCCCACGAAGGGAAGGGATCACTCTTTTGCATTCCGCAGAGGAAAAAGAGGAAATTGATCTTTTGATTTATTTTCTTCTCATATGTCCACTCTCAATATTTGACTAGACCATTCGAGATGAGACTGTCGTGCATATTGCTGTAAGAAACAACAATTTTAGAGCTTTTATGGTTTTGTTTGGTTGGGCTAGGAGGACCTATAGAACAACGGTGTTCCACTGGAGGGACGAGGAAGGCAATAACGTGATGCATCTTGCAGCATTAACAAACCAACCGATGGTATGTTCGTTTGACTAAATCTCCATTTATTTAACTGAGAATGAATTCCCTTAAATCTCCTTCAATTAACTTTCATCAATAAACTATTTTTTGAAAAATTCTACTTGTACATAATTATTGCACATAATGGTGTCTATAATGTGATGTGGCAATCATCCGGTTGTTGATGTGCAAGTGTGAGATTTGAATTAAAGGTTGGATCTAGTGCCAGAATAATTATGGACACCATTACATAGACAATTATGTAAATGTAGCACTTTGCTTATTCCTTTGTTAAACTTGAAGCTGAACCCATCCAACTGCTAGGAAGCGATGACAGGGCACATGTGAGGTTTATCCAAACCATTGACATTATTGAACCTAGAAATCCCAAGAAAGCACCAAAGCAAAGAAAAAAAAATTTTAATCTAGTTTCATTCTTAGGCCCATTTGACGTAGGATTTTTTGAGAATATATTTTATGAAAAATAATATTTTTGAAAAAATTGTGATTAAAAAGTAAGAAAAAATTATGAATTGACGTGCAAAATTATTTTATTATGAGAATGTTTGATAGAAAATTAATTTGGAGAAAAATGAGCTTTAAAAAATATGTACCATATAAAAATTAAAAGTCCCGCATCCGAGTTGAGATCTACTTTGATGGAGTCTCATATACTAGATCTTCACTCGATTTCAAGGTTTAAAGTACAAATGGATGGTTACAACATTTAATCTTAGTGTGAGATCACTTTTAGAGCCCCAAATTTTCATTGTCAAATGGTCCAAATTATTTAGATATTTGGGAACCTTGGTATAATTCTAATTTTGATAGAATACTGACTGCAAATTTGAGAAGTTTATCCAATTACCCATCTTTAAACTATTAATTTTGACCCTTATGAATAAATTTTGTACTTGTTGACAGTACAAATTAAATTGAATGAGTTTATTGATAAAACAATTACAATCGAATATCAATGTAAATACAATTAATAAATCTTCTCACCTAGCTATGATTTTCGCTTCCTAAATTTACTAGTTTTGATGTTTCAACTAGAACAACAAATTAAATAGCTATTTGAGAGTAAGATATTTGACTTGCATGCCTCTTTCTTCGAACGTGAGAGCATTTATAGATTTCCCTTCAAACATTGGGGATAGTTTGGTCATTTTCAAGTTTTGATAGATGGTGACTCCTTATTGGTTATTTTGTTCCTTAATCGATTAGGAGTCACGCTTCATTCATTTACCCATGTGTTTCTTATTGACAATCTGTAGCCAACTTGCTTATGGAAAATATTTGTGAGTCTTAGGTGAACCTTTTGCATATCGTTCCCTTCGTGTGATGCTTTTCACCTCGCTTATGAGTAAATCTTGTGAGGTGCATTCCTTGGTTCAACAATACTTCCAAGGTCCTTTGGTATTACACATAATTGAACTTTTACTAATGTATAAAGTATGTTTTTATTTTCCAATTTCCAGAATTTTTTTATTAATATTTCTGTTCAAATAGCTATGTGGAATATACTGTCTTAGATAAATATTTATTATGTATGTTGTTAGGATATTAATCATTAATTTTACAGTATAAAGGGATCTTACTCAAATATTCAGCAAACGACTGAGGGAATAAAAGAATAACAATCAAAGGATGGCTTGAAACTCTAGCCGACTAAGTAAAATAAAACATAATAAACTATAATTAAAAGATTATGAAAAAGCAGAACAGGAGATCGAGTTTGTATAACTGATTTATTGAAAATTTCGCTTATTAATAGGCAACCGAGCCTAAAAATTCCATTTTTCCAAAATCTATAATTTTACTTTACCTTTTTTTTTTTGCCAATATTTTACCCACATGAGGCCCACCCATGTTATTATTCTTAAATTTTTTTGTAGAAATTTATTCTGTACACGCAGACTAATTCAAATAACGTTAAGCCCACCTACAAGTTTAACTGGAAACATCAAAATTGTCTCGAGGTCAAACTAAAACTTGATGAGGATTGTGATCATGGTGAAAACTCCATTTACTCAATAGTTGATACTCTTTCAAATTGATATATCATGCAGAAAGCTTATCGATAAATTCGCTTAGTTAAAAATACCGGAAATTAATAAAAATAAATAAAATAAAATGGTTATCATTTTTCTTTAAACCAAATATTGTTTAGTTAATATACATTTGTTCGTTCAGATATAATTTTATAGAACTTCTTGTTTATGGTTTCAGGTTATGAAGTCATTAATCAAGATTGTGCATGTGAATAAGAAGAACTTAGAAGGTAAGACGGCATTGGATATCCTAAATCCTGAAATTGTAGAAGCAAGGAAAATTTTAATAAGCGCAGGAGCTAAAGAAGGTTCATCACTTGTCGATGATGCCACCAGTTGTGAGAATTATTTGAAGTCAACTGTGACGACGAAAGAAGTTTTATTCCAATTTGGTGCTTACCTGGACTACGGCTTGTCAGGAAATATGCAAAACGCTATCCTAGTAGTAGCTGTGCTTATTGCAACTGCTGCGTTTCAAGCCACTCTCTCTCCCCCTTACTGGATTTCTGGCAGTGATACCACTTCTGATACCACTCCTGATCTTCCCAACATCAAATCTGATTATAATGATCTTACTTCAACTTACTTCATCTTCAACATACTCCAGTCGATAGCACAAACAAGTATAATTTTCAACGCGATCGCCTTTGGTCTTGCAATGGGAACCTGTGCAATACTTACACTTGCTCCACTCCACCTGTTTCTCTGGCCATCTCATGTTCTATTTTCCATAAGCTTTGCATTACTGGCATGGGGAATATACCCAGGTATAAGTAGTCAATTTATCCCAGGTGCAGTTGTAGCTGCAGTTGCGGCATTATTCGTACTGCCTATCCTGATAATACTTCCCTGGAAGATCATAGTAATTAAAAGGTACATAAAAGGTGATATCGGCTACGAATACAACCTTGATGAGACGAAATATCTCATTTATGGTAGCACATTTACGAATCAAGGACTCATACTGAATCGGATGGCTAAAAGGAAAGCATCACAATGAAGGTACTGCATCAAATGTTCTGTCATGCCTCACAATCAATATTGCAAAAAGCACATTACTTGATTGGAAGGCCAAGTAAAATTATTTTCAGTTTAAGATTAAAGACGGTAGCATGCATGTAACGTCATCTTAATATGAATTATGCTTTTTCTGTAAGGATCTGTAGTGGTTGATGAAGAAAAAAATAAAATTGTCTCTTATTAGCTTATGATATGCGACTTTCTTCACTTCAGGGACGTATATACGAGCCTGACCGACTGGCCTTTTTAAAAAAAAATAAAAAGTACAACTAAAACAATGGTGATACTAAAATACTAATGATTTCTATTTTTCACTTTTCTGTTTTAGACTAGTTTCCTTTATAAAGTATACATTTTTTGGTCAATGCAATCATTGAGAAACCCGTTTCATCTCAGTACACAATATCTTACTGTTTTAATTTTCACCTGGTGTTTGAGGAAGTTTTTTAACTTTTGTTTGAGCTGTTATCACTTAGCATCTGTTTATACCTCCATTTGGGAAGAATTTATAAAAATGAGTAACGGACAATTGGTTAGTACTCATTGATTCATTGCAATGTGTCATTAAAAAATAAAATTCGAACAATTTACAAATGATTTATGAATTTGGCAAACGGAGGCCAAATTGAAGGGGTTGCACTTATGGGCCATGAGGTTGAAATTCATGGATAAACCAAGTTTGTTATATTCGATGTTGGAGCCAAGATTTTTGGTTCGTGAGGCACTACGGCAGTCAGCAGCATTTCATTAGCTGGAAGAGTGGCATAAGAAAATCTAGAAGTAATTCAATTGTATATTAACCATACTTAAAATTACAAATAAAACAATAAAGAAAAGAGAAAAGTAGACCTATGATCCCTGATGTGAAAGAACAAATCTCTAAGTTCAATTTAATTAACACATTCAACAACCCCAAAGACAGCAAATGAAAGATTTTGAATTACCTCTAACAAATCTTATTAGCAGAATCCATACCATACTTTTTAATTAATTAAGTAGCGAAGTTCGCCCTAATGGATTAGGATAGAGGTCTTCTATACCTTTGGTATAGGTTCAAATCATATTTGACACAATTTATTTCCATATATATTTGATTGATTGAAGAAGGGAAAATTGCCATGACGGATGAAGCACCTCCTATTCTGCCCAATCCCAACGAGAAAGTAGGATGAATTAGAACACTCGGAATCCTCGCAGATATAGCGTGCGTGCCACTAGTGCTCTGTTGTCGAAAAGGTAGAATGCTGTTACCGCTTTTCTTTTCATTAATGAAATGTGCCAGTTATTGACAAATTTGATCTCCTTTTTAAATAAACAAAAAAATAAAATAAAATAAAGGAGAACAGCAAAACAACCAAAAATAAAAAAAGGAAAAGAAAAAATTATAAAAAGAATCTAAAAATCTTTTCAGATAGTACAAATAGGTCTGGAGAAAATGAAAAAGACATTTCATCACCCCAAGCAACCCCACTCCCCACCCATGGGGAACCACCCCGACCCAAAATCACAACCCACTGCCATCGCATCCCAACGGGAAAAGGACACCCAAAAAAAAAAAAAAATCCCAAATCCAAGGCAGCAACCCGTTTTGCTCGGCATTGCCATCCAAAATACCAATTCATCTTTGGATATGTTTAGGAGCTGAAAATGGACTTTTAATAACTACTGAATATAGTAGGAATAACTGGGAAACTTGATAATTAAAAAAGCAACCATTTTCCATAGTCACGGAGCTCAACCCAAGTTGCTGTTGAATCCGTAGTTTCCTATTCATTAGGAATTTTCTACAAGAAATTTACCAACCACTCCCTATGTCCTTGAAAACTTTCTTGGTGCTGACCACAAAAATCACAATCAACAAATTCTTCTCAACTAACTAATTTTTTTTTTCTCCTAATGTGCTTGATGCTTAGCAAGGGACAAGAGGTATATATTTATTTGGATGGGAGATATTTGAATTTACATATATTGTTGCATCTGTTTATACCTCCGTTTGGGAAGAATTTATAAAAATGAGTAACGGACAATTGGTTAGTACTCATTGATTCATTGCAATGTGTCATTAAAAAATAAAATTCGAACAATTTACAAATGATTTATGAATTTGGCAAACGGAGGCCAAATTGAAGGGGTTGCACTTATGGGCCATGAGGTTGAAATTCATGGATAAACCAAGTTTGTTATATTCGATGTTGGAGCCAAGATTTTTGGTTCGTGAGGCACTACGGCAGTCAGCAGCATTTCATTAGCCGGAAGAGTGGCATAAGAAAATCTAGAAGTAATTCAATTGTATATTAACCATACTTAAAATTACAAATAAAACAATAAAGAAAAGAGAAAAGTAGACCTATGATCCCTGATGTGAAAGAACAAATCTCTAAGTTCAATTTAATTAACACATTCAACAACCCCAAAGACAGCAAATGAAAGATTTTGAATTACCTCTAACAAATCTTATTAGCAGAATCCATACCATACTTTTTAATTAATTAAGTAGCGAAGTTCGCCCTAATGGATTAGGATAGAGGTCTTCTATACCTTTGGTATAGGTTCAAATCATATTTGACACAATTTATTTCCATATATATTTGATTGATTGAAGAAGGGAAAATTGCCATGACGGATGAAGCACCTCCTATTGTGTCCAATCCCAACAAGAAAGTAGGATGAATTAGAACACTCGGAATCCTCGTAGATATAGCGTGCGTGCCACGAGTGCTCTGTTGTCGAAAAGGTAAAATGCTGTTACCGCTTTTCTTTTCATTAATGAAACGTGCCAGTTATTGACAAATTTGATCTCCTTTTTAAATAAACAAAAAAATAAAATAAAATAAAGGAGAACAGCAAAACAACCAAAAATAAAAAAAGGAAAAGAAAAAATTATAAAAAGAGTCTAAAAATCTTTTCAGATAGTACAAATAGGTCTGGAGAAAATGAAAAAGACATTTAATCACCCCAAGCAACCCCACTCCCCACCCATGGGGAACCACCCCGACCCAAAATCACAACCCACTGCCATCGCATCCCAACGGGAAAAGGACACCCAAAAAAAATAAAAAATAAAAAAAATCCCAAATCCAAGGCGGCAACCCGTTTTGCTCGGCATTGCCATCCAAAATACCAATTCATCTTTGGATATGTTTAGGAGCTGAAAATGGACTTTTAATAACTACTGAATATAGTAGGAATAACTGGGAAACTTGATAATTAAAAAAGCAACCATTTTCCATAGTCACGGAGCTCAACCCAAGTTGCTGTTGAATCCGTAGTTTCCTATTCATTAGGAATTTTCTACAAGAAATTTACCAACCACTCCCTATGTCCTTGAAAACTTTCTTGGTGTTGACCACAAAAATCACAATCAACAAATTCTTCTCAACTAACTAAATTTTTTTTTTTTTCTCCTAATGTGCTTGATGCTTAGCAAGGGACAAGAGGTATATATTTATTTGGATGGGAGATATTTGAATTTACATATATTGTTCCTTTAGGTAGGACTTATTTATTGATTCTTCCCAGGACCTTGGTGGCATTTTGGTCATTTTAAACTACTAATGACGGGTGGCAATACATTTTATAAAGTTCAGTGACTAACGGGAAAACTTTTGAAGTTTAGTGACCCCCTGAAAATTTTACACATAGTTTAGTGACCAATAAGTGAATTAACCCTCCAACGTAACATCTTTTTGAAATCTGTACTTTAGTCCCTGGATTCTTCTTGAGTCATTTCTTGAAATAATTTTGATGCTTTATCTTCCAATTGCATCCAATTGAACCCTGATAATATTCAATCATCATCTTGTAGTCAGAATCAACTATAGGAAAGTTGCAATTAGGTTTCCAAACTTTGAATTTCACTATTTTTCACTTATTTCTTTCAATTTTGCTTCAAATGATCATGTTTTACCTAACAAACGAAATAAGTAATAAATTAAACCATAATTAATCAGAAGAACCACGAAATATCTATATTTTTGATGCTCGCATAAGTGTATAAAATACTTTTATTAATAACAAAATGCATTTTATTCGTTGAGCAATGTGACAATAGTCCTTTTGCCAATTGGTGGTGCTAAACACCAATTTTCATGTATAGCACTGTTCATTTATACATGCAACAACTTCACAGAATGTCAAATATATTTTCTGTTTTGAACATATATTAAATAATAGTTTATTATATTTGCTTTGCATGTTTTTTCAACCTTTTGTCTAATATAACATGAATTTAAATAAACCCAAAAAAAAAAAAAATCTTACTTTAGCTAAAATAAATTTATGCTAGCCTCCAATCTTGAATCATTGGTTAATCAATGTAATATTTATTAGCAAAAAGCAAATAACAAAAATTTATAGAAAATAGGTATGTTTTTTCCATTTATAAAAAGAATTATGGATTCTGGTTAGCCTTCCATGGAGTCATTGACTAAATATGGCCTTTTTATGATGGTTACATAAGATGGCGATTTTAAGAAAATTAGGGTGACGCAAAATGTGGGAATGTTAGGTGTTACTAATCAACTGGAGTTCAATGACTAGATTATGAATTTACTAATTGTTAATTTAATTTCGTGAGAAATAATAATAATAATAATAATAATAATAATAATAATAATAATAAAAAAAGAGGGAGAGAGAGAGAGAGAGAGAGAGCAAGGAGGAAGTGGATATTGCTATCTAACAATGATCACACTTATCTAACTTAATTAAATGAATCTATCATTAAAATTCATATAGTTGTTGTTAAAACCCAAATCTTCCTAGTCAAAATTCAAATATTGAATTGTCAAAGTCAATTAAGGACAAAAATGAAATTAAATATATTTTTGAAACTTTAGGATTTAAATGTATATATTCTATTAAAGAAGAGGGACTTCCTTTGAAATTTTGAACAAGTGGGCCTTTATATTCAACCTTTGACCAATATTTCTCTCTCACACACACACATACTAAGGGTCCGTTTGATTGTAAAAATGAAATTAAATTGAATTGTAAACGAATTTTAGGGAATTGAATTATCTAGAAATTATTTTCTTGAGAATTGTAAATTATTGTGTTTGATTAGTATAAATTTTCACATGGAAAATGCTGAAATAAAAGTATTTTTTGAGGCTCGTTTGACTTTATTTTATATGAAAATTGTCAATTAAATGGATAGATTTTACTGGTATTGGAGACGAATTTTGTTTCCATTGCAAAAAAAAAAATAAAAAAAATCACCTATCTTTTTGTGTTCATTTGACTTTATTTTACATGAAAATTGCCAATTAAAGGGAAATATTTTTTGACAATAATTCTTAGAATTTGTTTCCATTGTAAAAAAAAAAAATGAGAATAATAAAAAACGTATAAAGTACCTAGAAAACCAATTCCCACCATATTGGTGGGAATTGGTTTTTAAGAAAAATCAAGAAAATTCCGGTTTTCAAGACAATCAAGAAAGAGAATTTCACGGAAAAAACTTATCAAATATTGTAAAAAGTGAAAGTTGGAAAACGAATTCTATTTTCCATGAAATTTGGGTGTCTATCAAACAGGCTCTAAAAAAACGCACAGAAGCATAAAGGCCTAGAAAGAAGAAAGAAAAAAATGGAAAAGAAGAAAGAAAAAAGAAAATAAGAAGAAAGGAAAGGAAATGATGAAGTTGATGACTTTTGCAAGTTTGGGTTCTTCATTTCTTCAATTTATGCTTCTTTTAAAGAGGAATCTTAATTAAATTTCTAGGGTTTATGAACAATTCATTTATATTCGAAGTTTAGTAAGACTTAGAGATTATTAATATGTATTTGAGGTATTAAACAAGAGTAGATCAAGGAAATGTATAAAGGAAGATTGATGTTGTAGAAAGTGAAATTTTGAAATTGGGTTTATGAAATGGATACCTATTCTTTGTCTTTCTTGTGATTATATGGTGTCAGCCACTTAATTTAGGAATATGAGGTTTGATTTCTCCATTTTAAACAATTTTAAGCTATTTTTTAGCAATTTTAATACAAGGTGCTGATTTTGTAATTTTGCCCAGAAAAGTGCCATTTTTATCAATTGTTTTGGTGATAATCTTCAACGTACAGAAACTTATTTTACAGTTCCATATTCTAGAATTTTAGTATTGTTTTTGTCTAACCTTTGATTTTCACATTTTAAAAGCTTGAATGAAGTTATATGATAAGTATTGAAGTTTATGTACAGGGCCGGTCCTAAGAATTTAGAAGCCCTAGGCGTTTAATTATTATGTGGCCCCTCAACACAAAATTTATTTTACAAGTCTAACAATATGTAAATATTTAAAATAAAAAAGGAGAGATTTTGGAAAAATATTCAAGAAGATATCAGAAAGTTTGCATTACACAAATTATTTCTGGACAGTTTCTTACTTACCCAACCAATTAAAATCAAAAGGAAAGAAAAAATGTAGATATATTCATCAAGAATATAATAGTGAAAGTGACTAGAAACTCAAGATGTCCAAAAACTGTAAACTTCCATTCATCAAATGAAAGCTCCTAATTTGACTTGCTTTCTCCTTAATACTTTTTTTATTTAACATTAGCAAATTGTTAATCCGATTGATTTTAGCCAATTACAGAAATGAGTTGTGTAATCTAACCACTGAAACCTTAAAACGTAGTCACTCAATAATCTTCCAAAATCGTTTTAGAGAGGGAAAAGAGAGAACCAGGTCTGAAGTCATCATCATCGCAACACAAGATCCAACAACGGTCCATTCACTCTCTTTTACTCCTTATCTTAAATATTCTCTATCAGTACACTTTATGTCGCGTAAGAGCAAAAAATTGACCCAGAATTGTAAAACCTTGAGGGATGAACACCAAATCATTATCTTGATATAAATATATAAATTTTAGCCCAGGTTATTGAGTTTATATTGTGAAAAGAGTTAAGAACAGCAGCAGACCCATGTTAAGAATTGTGTTGTCTTCAAGTAAGCTTATCTGACTTCAGGTGGACTTCATAGATTTTTTCGGTTTTTATTTTGTTTAAACGTGTTCTTGCTTTGATTTGTGATAATAATTTTACTGAGTGTATTATATTTCAAATGGCTTCATAGATTTTTATGTGCCAATTTTTATTTTTTTAAGAGATGGGGCCCCTGAGGCTCAAGGCAATGGCCTCACTTATCTTGGGTCAGGGCCAACACTGTTTATGTAGTAGACTAAATTATGTATACGGGTTTTCTAAGGTATTGATTTTAAGCAAGTGCAAGTAATTTAATTGATTTGATAATGAACGGTGATTAGTTGATAAATCTTTAGAGAGAAGGAAAGTTGGAGAATTGGAGGTGTAAGAGTATATATAGGAATTGAGAAGTTAAGAGGTGAATTTGTATTAGTTTAATTGTCAGATATTAATTTGAGAAATTATACCGTTGTTTCGGGTAGAGACGTGAAAGTTTAGAAAGGCTCGTCAATTAAATCAAGTTTTCATACATAGTTCTGTAAGTGGAGAACCTACTTTTCCAAAAAGAAGATTTTCTTTTTATTTTATAGAAGCATATTAGTTACATGAAATGCCTTATTTTCGAGAAATTAGTAAATGAGCATGATTGTTTTGAAATTATCAGAAAATAATTGATGTAATTATCTTACTCTAGTGCACTGAGGGGCTATGGCAGTGTACTAGAGTTATGTATTTTAACTCCGATATACTGAGGGGTTACAGCCGTGTAAAAGGATGATTATGTTGTTTCCATCTTGTACACTAAGAGGCTACGACTGTGTACTAGAGTCATGTATTTTAATTCCTATACACTGAGGGGGTTACAGCCATGTATTAGAATGATTTTGTTGTTTCCATCTTGTACATTGAGGGGCTACGACCGTATACTAGAGTCATGTATTTAACTCCTGTACCTTGAGGGGGCTGCAGCCGTATGTAAGGGTAATTCTTATTCACTGAGGGGCTACATTCGTATATAAGGATGATTATGTCGTTTCCATCTTGTGCATTGAGGAGCTACGGCCGTGTACAGAGTATTGATCAGACGGTTTATGTGCATATGATTTTATAGCTTTCAGATCATTAGTAGATGTTTACATGGGGTATATTTTGATGTGAATTTTAAGTATATAGTGGATTATTTGCCTTCAGCTTACATTTCCCAGTTTACAGTTCAGCTTACAAATTTTAGAATTTCTAAAAGTTTTAGTAGTGCAAGAATTTTCTGAATATATGCATAAAAGAAAAAGTATATTTATTTGCAGATTATGCATTCACTGAGCTGCAAGCTCATATTTCTTTTAACCTTTTTCTTTAGTAGATAGCAGTCGAGTTGAGCAGTGTTGGAGCCTATCGATCCACTGAATTGGGCCACATGTCATTAGTTGTATGGCCTACTTTATCAAATTTGGTAGTATCCATTTTTTGGGTTACATGTAGCTTATGTTAGAAAAGGTTGTCATGAAATCACTACGTGGTATACTTAGTATATTTGAGGATTTTTAGTAGTAAAGCAAGTAAATATTGAATTGCTAGCAAATTATTTGAATAGTTTGAATTTTGAGGGGCTGATGTACCTTATTTTACATTATATGTATTGATTTAAGCAAATCAATTATGGATCAGGTGGATTTAGTCCATATTTTAGAGGAGGCTTAGTCAAAATTTTGTTAAAAATATTTTTCAATCAAGCAAATTAAAGTTACCTTGGTGGTTGATCCGACACGTGTTGAGTCCATTAAGATGATTCGGGACGGGTCGTGTCAATTGCCACTTAAATTGGTGCTTGACACCAATTGATGAATAGCATTACTTCGAGGAAATTCACTAATTGAGGAATATGACAATAAAATATGAAGCTCGCCTCATTTCTAGAATCTATGTTTGTTTCAGCCATTTAAGTCGAAGGATTTATTGGCGGAGTCGAGCTTTCCACGACCCGTAACAGGCATTTTTTTAAAATAAATAAAAAATTGAAATTTTCCTCTTTCAGATTTGGGACTGATTATTTTTTAATATAAATGGAGTTAAAATTGTAAATATATTTCTGAAAATTCAAAAAAATAGAGAAAATTAACTAACTACACTTAGAAATCTTGAAATCAAATCTTGAAAATTGAGCCGAGCTTTTCACGACCGATGACCCAGCTCCTATTTATAAATTAATAAAAAATTTGAAACTTTCCTCCTTTTTAGGACTTTGGCCGACTATTTTTAATATAAACAGAGTTAAAATTGTACATTATTTTCTAAAAATTCAAAAAAGTTAAAGAAAATTAACTTAAACTTAATCCATGTCTATTGAATTATTTAAATACATTAAATTCTCCGTGCAAGATTCAATATATGAAATATATTTTCTTTAAATACTTGGCATCTTTGAAACCAATTCTACCCTAAATATGAATTCAGATATGACTGTTTAGCCTGATTATATAGAGGTAAAATTGATTCAAAGATGCCATTTGAAATAATATATGGAAGGAAAAGATAGAATAATTAAATTTATACTATATTTGAACATAAATAACTCAATTAAGTAAAATTAAAGATAATAGAATCTATGTAGAAATTTGTGTAAAAAAATGAATTGAAGTGACAATCTATATTAAAAACATATATGTTCATTTTAAAATGTTAAATTTGGACATTAGACCTTTTGCCTTGGCACCAAATGATCATTTGCAGTTTGGCTGCCAGCCAACGGCAAAATGGAAGACAATTAGTAGCCCATGAGCCACAAGTCGACTCGTGGTCCATGTTGGTAAACCTGGCCCATGAGCCTAAGACGTGTCCATGAGCCAACTCGTAAATTTGATTCAACCGAAATATTAGGATGAATGAAAACGAACCTTTTGTTTCATAATTATTTTACGACTTTGAAAAGACCCGATAAACTAGAACCATAGAATGAGGAAATTCACACGGGAAGGAAACGGGAAAAATAATTTGCATATTTTTAATTCATATATAGGCGAAAAAAACCATTAGATTATACTATATAAAGAAACTAAGAATGCTAGTATTCTATACTCGAGCACTTTTCATTTACACACTAGCGTCAGTTCAAAAAACTTGAATGGACATTGCTCAATATGCGAGAATCCACTGTAATTGGAAGTCCCCAGTGAGATGCCATTTGCAGAAACACCTCTCCATATAGCTGCTTCCAAAGCCCGGACCAGCCTTGCTCTTGAAATCTCGAGGCTAAAGCCTACACTAGGGAGGAAATTGAACCTTGATGGTCGCACCTCTTTGGACCTGTCTTTGCGTAATAGACACATCACCACTGTGAAGCGGCTTGTCAGACATAATCCGGACCTCGTTTGTGTCCCAGGGAGGGAAGGAATCACTCCATTGCATTATGCAGCGGAATCAGATGAAACTGCTGTGCGTATTGCAGTCAGAAACAAAAACTTAAAAGAGGTTCATAGAAGTGACGACATAGCAGTTATAAGATTTAGAGATGAGCAAGGCAATACAGTGCTGCATCTTCTTGTAGCATTAACTCACTAGCTGCAGGTATTATCATTCGACTCAACCTCCATTCATCTATTATAGAGAATACCACTATACCTAGATAGAACACAAAATGTTATGTTGAGAGCATTAAATCCATCATCCATCTATGGTATTACTGTTCGTAGAATTGTTCTTTTCCCCATTGCGGACTAAATAAAATGTGTCAACAGCTGACGTGGCCATGCAAATTAAACCGTCGTTGTTGACGAATTTCAGGTATAATGTTGACGAAGATGTTAATCAAAGTGGGTGCTCATATGCAATTCAGTTTGTGAACACATTGGCCTATGGCATGGCCATTTGAACATATGCTCTACCCACATATAAATTTAATCCACTCATTTCGTTTCTCTACTTTCCTCTCGGCATCTTTTCCTTCAGCTATGGAGTTTCAATTATGGTCGTTTAAATTCATCTAATATAAGGTTGCAATATATTGCATTTTCATACACTCATAGAGAACTCGCACTAAAACTCTTGAACTCTTGTAACATGTTTAATATGGAGTACTAAACATGATAAAAATGAAAAAAAAAAATTAAAATCTTATATGTATATATTATGTGAAGAATTTGGATCCTAAACATAACCTTATACTTTTACTACGAAATGTTTGAGACACCTTTTTATTTATTAGCTCTTCATTGTAGTCTTCATTATTTTGAATTGTATTGAGTTGAACATGTTTAATGAGGAAAAAATTTGAAATTTTATTGATGGTACGATGTTTAATTTCTGTGAGAAATTTGGTGTGTAGAGGTACAACAAACACTCCAAGGTTGTAGTTAATGTAACATTGGAGGGAAGTCCTGGGCCAATCCGAACAATGGTGAAATTAGGATCCAGTGTTGAGGAGATGATAAAGCTTGTGATTAGAAAGTACAACTCGGAAGGCCGCACTCCTCGTCCGGATAAAGATTTTGCTTCGAGATGTGAATTACACCACTCGTACTTCAGCGTTCAATGTGAGTTATTCATTTGATTTTTAACTATTTCTTGGTTTTTTCTTATACCAAATGAATAATTACTCTGACATGCCATCCTAATGTTGCTGCTTATTGAAAGTGATTGACAGTAAATGAAATGATGAGTGTTGTTAATTCTTGAAAACATTGTATAGCCTATGTTTCAATGGAATTAAAATTATATTTTCAGTAAACTTGATAAAAGTTAATGAGATATGTGATTGAAAAGTTGTGGATTCCATAAAATATATTGTTATAATTAATTGTTGACTTTATCTTAAATTAAACCAAATAGGGGCATAAAGAAATCATTTCCAACTAGAAAGATATGCAATCTTAAACTCTCTTAAAAAATGAAAAAAAAATTCAAAATCCTGAGCTTGAAATATGTTAACTTAAGCATCAAGGAATTTTTCTAGTTAAGCGCTCATATGATAATTTTTGCTATGATAAAATAATATTTTATTAAAAATAAATTGTAATTTTATTTATTTTTTATATTTATTTATTATTGAAAATGCGAATTAAAGTATCTATGATTACTCGAAATAATATAAGTTAGATACTTGCATTGAGAAAAACAATGTGACACAATTTATATTTTGATCATAAATAAATTGTTTACAACCAATATATAAGGGTAGGCACGTCGTGTTAAAAGATTGTAGTGTTGAACAATTCAATAGCCAGATTTATGATTTGTGCTTATTTCAAAAATAGTTAAAGGTGTATTACACTTGGAATGCATTGAAATGATCACGTGTCGAGTTTAATTCTATAGCATGACGTACAAAGAATTCAATTCCACATGATTTTCATGTATTTTATCTAAACTCAACACAATTGTGTCTATCTTTTTGTAATTATAATGATTCTCTTATTAACCAATAATTTTTTTATAAATTTTATCAGTCAAATATCTCGATAAATTGAGAGATTAAAAATGAGCTAAGTAGAGAATTGGATTTTGTGACGGGAACCATCATCATGAAAAATGAGTAAAGTGATTGTTTAAGTATTTCTGTTGAGCAATTAAAACCTGGACACTGTGTTTTGCTATGACTAAATTTCGACACATGTTATTGGTTCACAAAACCATTGCAGAAAAATGGTACCTAAATTAGTGAGAATAATTAGAAGGGTAAAATAATCATTTATGCCTGTATCAAGTTAATGGATTTCGAACGGAAAAAAAATACATGCAAGGAAGGTTAGAGAAAAGTATATATTGACTTCTGATATTGTATATATTTCTAATGTGTCGTCTTTTTCCTTTAATGAAAAAATAAAAACTAATGATTGGATTATGTAGTATGGGGTCAACTAAATATGATCTAATTATTGAAATTCGAATAATACAAATTCAACTAGGTCTCGTGGTAGCTCCATAATGTATTGAGACTTACTTGCAATTATTGTAAAAGTATTGGACTTAATTACAATTATTATAAGTTTTCAACTTAATTGTAATTACTATAAAATTTATAAACTTAATTGTAATTGTAATTATAAACTTATTATAATGTTGTAATTGCAATTGCAATTGTAGTCACTAGGTTAGTGAGAAGATAAAGCGTTTGGTTATTTTTAATTTAACTCGATGCTATACCATAGAAGAAAAAGCAACAATAAGGAAATTCAACGACCGTCGAAGGTGACGAGCAAGCGGGGTTATCAGATTTTTAATCCATACCGGCAAGACCTGAAAAATTAATTTACTTTGGAACACTTGCCAAAAATAATATTCAATCTAGTCATGCACGTGAACTTCATATATTTGTATTCTAGTGAGTTTGTCCGTTAGGTGAGGAAAATTTAAATTGACTGGGTTAGTGAGATGGTAATGCATTTGCTTATTTTTAATTTAATTTAATGTAATAGGTTAGAAGAAAAGGCAACAATGAGAGAATTTAATAATTTATTGTCCGCGGAAATTGATTGGGTTAGTGAGAAAATAACGCGCTCGTTTAAAACCATTTTTTTTCCCCAATGCTATGGGATAGAAGCGAAAACAACGAGGAGGAAATTCATTGGCTATCGAAGTCAACAAGAAAGCATGGTCCTCACATTTTTAATCCGTGTTGGCCACATGATGCTAATTCAAAATGCTCAACGAGAAATATTATTTAATCAAGTCACCATCATGCATGTAAATATTATTCTATTGAGTTTGACTGGTAGGTGAAGAAAATGGATTACACTTCAAGGAAGAGGAAAATATAAATTTGACTGGATTGTTGTGTTCGAGACTGTACAAGATCGTGACACCTTGTGATCAATTATATAAAGAAACTCAGATAAGATCCAATTGAAATACTCAGCAGTTTTCAGTTTTAAACTATCTTGAGTTTTCACTTTTCAGTTTTAAACAATCTTGAGTTTGCATAATGAGAACTGTTGAAAATCCTGAAATGGCTTAATTGTACCCAAAAATAGGCGATAATCCACACTACTTGGAAGTTCCTAATGAGATGCCATTTGTAGAGTCACATCTTCACACTGCTCAACACAATTGTGTCTATCTTTTTGTAATTATAATAATTCTCTTATTAACCAATAATTTTTTATAAATTCGATCAGTCAAATATCTCGATAAATTGGGAGATTAAAAACGAGCTAAGTAGAGAATTTGATTTTGTGTTGGGAACCATCATCCTGAAAAATGAGTAAAGCGATGGTCTAAGTATTTCTGTTGAGCAATTAAAACCTGGACACTGTGTTTTGCGATGACTAAATTTCGACATATGCTATTGGTTCACAAAACCATTGCAGAAAAATGGTACCTGAATTAGTGAGAATAATTAGAAGGGTATAATAATCATTTATGCCTGTATCAAGCTAATGGATTTCGAACGGAAAAAAATACATGCAAGGAAGGTTAGAGAAAAGTATATGTTGACTTCTGATATTGTATATATTTCTAATGTGTCGTCTTTTTCCTTTAATGAAAAAATAAAAACTAATGATTGGATTATGTAGTATGGGGTCAACTAAATATGATCTAATTATTGAAATTCGAATAATACAAATTCAACTAGGTCTCGTGGTAGCTCCATAATGTATTGAGACTTACTTGCAATTATTGTAAAAGTATTGGACTTAATTACAATTATTATAAGTTTTCAACTTAATTGTAATTACTATAAAATTTATAAACTTAATTGTAATTGTAATTATAAACTTATTATAATGTTGTAATTGCAATTGCAATTGTAGTCACTAGGTTAGTGAGAAGATAAAGCGTTTGGTTATTTTTAATTTAACTCGATGCTATACCATAGAAGAAAAAGCAACAATAAGGAAATTCAACGACCGTCGAAGGTGACGAGCAAGCGGGGTTATCAGATTTTTAATCCATACCGGCAAGACCTGAAAAATTAATTTACTTTGGAACACTTGCCAAAAATAATATTCAATCTAGTCATGCACGTGAACTTCATATATTTGTATTCTAGTGAGTTTGTCCGTTAGGTGAGGAAAATTTAAATTGACTGGGTTAGTGAGATGGTAATGCATTTGCTTATTTT